CGTCTTTCTCCCTTCTTCCCTAGAACAGTTACACAGTTCTTCTCCTTTTCCTGTTACACCAAAAGCCCCTTTAGAATGGTACACTCTGAAGATGGGGTGTCTGCCTATATATTTCTAAGTTCCCAAAACATAACCAAGTATGTACTCTTAATGTATTATACTCTTAATATTTATTGATAGATTGAATGGTAGACGCCAAACACCATTTTTTCACTTCAGTAGCATTTAATCCAGAGTCTTGCATAAAAGCACAGGTTCAATAGATGCTTATCAGATTTAACTGATTTCAAATACAGTTTTTAAAAGGATTCTGATCTCATTTTCTTGTTTTGAGCCAGTGCAAATTTTAAGAAGCAGCATGATCTACCTAATTGCCGCATCCTAGAATGTACAGTTTCTAATCATGGAACTGTGGACTGCTCACAAACGGGAGGGATCTGCTAACCACATTCTCCCTCTGTGTTACTCCCATTTCATGTAAGCCCTGCTGACATAAGCATCAAGGAGGTTTTAAAACAAATGTTATCCTTTCTCAGATGAGAATCATGCCTTCTTAGCTCTGACAGGAGAAACACTCATGGGCATACACATCGATCCCCACATCTTAGCCAATTCTACTCCCCCTGAGGTCTTTCCACCATGATCCACCCACAGCAAAGCTAGGTGGGCAGCAGGACTCCACATCGAGCAGTTTTTCTGCTGCTTGGGAAACCCAGGGAATTTTAATGCTACTGAGCCACTCTGCTCAAACACTCCTGGTGTGAACTGAGCAAAGCTCTAGTTGCTAGGCAACCATTACAAAAGCAGAAGGATTTCCAAAATAAAAAGAGACCCAAAGAGACCCAGAATACACTGGAATTAAGTGCAATTGCACGTTAATCAGCAACTGGTGGATGACACCCTTACCTTGGTTAGATGGTTTGTTTCTTAATCTAGAAAATATTACTATCTGGGTCTTTCAATTTTTCACCAAACTGGGGGTGGGAGCAGGGTGTTGGTGTTTTGGTGTTTTGTTTGTTTGGTTGGTTGGTTTTGTTGTTTTGTTTTGTTTTCTCTTTCACAGTTCCTGTGAACACAGAAAGAGGTATGTTTCAATGTTGGGACTACTAGAAAATGATGGGTGCTCAATAAATAATAAATATGTGGTCACAAAGGTGTGCATTTTCACAGCTTCTGGAGATGTATAAAAGTATAGTATAAAAGTATAGTTATGCATGTGTTTGATGGCTTTAAAATAAGTCCACAAATTCTTAGTTACCTCCCTTTGAGCAATGAAGCTTGCATGGCATGGAACTTAGTGTCTTGCTTCTAACAAATAGAGGATGGCAGTTTTAGGCTAGGTCACAAAAGCATCTCAACTTTCCCCTCCTCCACCCTGCCATCAATCACCCTGGGGGAAGCCAGCCACCATGTTGTGAGGGTGCTCAGCTGTCTCCAGAGAGGCCCAACTAGCAAGGAACTGAGGCCTCCTGCCACAGCCAGGTGAGGGCACTCTCTTCAACACGGATTCTCCAGGCTCAGGGAGGCCTTCAGAGGACTACAGGAGCCTCTGCCAACATCTGACTGCAGAAAACACAGGGAAGGTACCAAGCCAGAACCAACCAGCAAGGCCTCTGCCAAATTCCTGACCACAGAAATGAGGAGGTACTAGTCAAATGTTTGTTATTTTAAACCACTATGTTTTGGGGTGCTCCATTACACAGCAATGGATAACACAAGAGTTCATCCAGATAGAAACTCTCTGAAGGAAAGGTTTGGGTCTTGCTGGCTCCTTCATCCCGACATCAAGTATCCTATGTGCACTCAATTAGCAATGGGAGGAACTCACTTAATGATAAGCTTGTTCCCCAATTTTATAGAAACCTATAAGTACATATTTTTCACCCACAGAAACAAGAGTATGATTCTTTTATTAAAAAGACACTTTTCAACAAAGAGCCACCAGGCAGCATAATTATCAAAGGAGCTATTAGAAATTATGGGGAAAGTCCACTGGAACTTGCAAACCCCTCCTCCTTGCTGGGTGGGAGGGAGATTCAGCCGAAAGCAGCAAGGGCTTGACATATACTCAGGCAAGAGCATGTAACGAAGGGCACATCTGGAACAGTTTGCGCTTCTCAGAGAAGGAAAAGGCACTTCACAGTGGAGAGGGGGACCCGCAGTCCCCACTAGGGTATCACCTAGAAGTTCTCCTGAGGCAATGTCACAGCAGGAGCACAAGTGTGTGAAGGCTGGTTGGACCAGATAGCCTTTCAGTCCTTTCTGACCGTGGTTGCAGAACATCCCTCCTGCCTCTTGGCCACACACCTGGAGGCAGGTGGCAGGTGTACCCTCCTGCCTTCTGCAGACCAAAAAGCTAAAGGTAGACACAGTGCCAGCATTTTCCACATCCTGCCCACATGCTCCCTCTCTCTATTGAGTATCTAAGGAGACTATTCTAGGACGAGCTGGATGCAGCCCCTGGAATACGAGCAAAGGGCAAGGCCTGCCCTCCAGGCAACCTCGGGCAGTGGAGGGCACCTGTGGTCAACTGCAGACCCCACTCATGCCTTCCTTTCTTTTAACAACTAGGTTTCCAGAGTTGAAATTCTGTACCCTGCTCCATGCTGTGAGATCTGTAGGAAAATTAGAAGCTAGCCTGACAGCTCACTCACTTACCACCCCTCCCAAAGAAGGCACACATTTTTAAATGTGTTCAATTGCCCAAAAAATATCTAAAAGTTAAAAGCAATAATTTAAATGTCCCAGACCAGAAATCACATCCTTCTCTTCTACTCATTGCTTTTGTGCACCCCCTGCCCTGTGGCCACCATATCAGGCACACAGCAAGCAAGGTACACGTGGAACTCATTGTTGCTAGTGAGCTAGAATTAGCTACAATTGCTGCTAATGCAGTTCATTCATGGGAAGCTTCCCAAGCCTGAATGCCCCAGGTACTCTGCTAGGTTCTTTATCCACACCACTTAACTTAGCCCAATAGCTACCCAAGAGAATGAGAATTTGAATTATTTAAGAGCATCACAAAGCTAGCAATCAACCAGCTGCAAACCCAGGCTCCTCCTGCTGTCCCCACTTCTCCCATCAGAACTATTTAATATTCAAAGGTAATCCTACATTCCCACCCAGATCTGAAGATACAGGTTTCCACCACCCTCTTTCTTATGTGTCAACCAAGGCTCCAATATTTTGAAAGAGTTTAACTGTCTCTGAACTTACTGAGAAACAATAATTCCATGCTTACTGAAAGACATTTCAAACTCCCAGCCCAGGACTTTGCTCAGCATGAGACAACCCAGTTTATCTCAGAATCCATAATAATCCCAGCGTAAGCAGTTGACACTTTACCAAGTCATAGCTTTTCTGAAATATTAAAAATAGCTCCAAATTCCCCATAATTCAGGTTTTGCCTTCCAGAGATTTTTTTTTAAAGAAGCCATTTAATACAATCAATGTAGTGTCTAAGAGGAGATTCCATTCTGAGGATATGAAGAGACCCATGTGAACCCCTCCGTTGTTGCCCCATGTCTCCCAGCCCACTCCACATTAACCCAGCAGGAAGGAAGCTGAGAAGGGAGGAAGGGAGGAGGAGGAGGGAGGCAGAGGAGCAGAGGGTGGGAGAGAGATGCCTTCATTCAGTTAAAGGAGAGTGCCAGGCACCACCCTTGAGTTTTACTGTTGGACAATGCTGCCATCTGCTGGCAAAGTTAGAAACTCATTACAAAATAGTGCCAGCCATTTATACAAACCACATCGCTGTGATCTTAAGCACCAACAAATTACCTCCATAGAGGTGATTAAATATAGACCAGAATCCATCTAAAATAGATTTCATAGCATTCACCTTTCAAGCTCCAAACTTTTAAAATATACCATGTAGAAGCTGAACAATTAGAGAACCTTCCTCCGTGTTCTACCCATCCATTGCTTGCTCCCTTCCAACCCATTGCTCACTCAGCAGCCAGAGTCACCAGTGGCTTTGACTTTCACTTGGAGCAAATCTAAACATGTTGCTCTGGCCCCTGAAGGACTCCTAACTGGTGGCTAGCAAGCCCAAAGTGCAGCAGTTCCAACTCTGTGCATGTGTCTCAACAGGGTTCTCAGTGGCTTTCTATGGAGACACCCTGTGTCCTCAGGTCTCTCCTACCCACACCATTTATTCACCAAGACCCTGCAGTCAGTACATTCACCTAGAAATTTACATCCAGCCAGAACTTCAGGATGTAATCTCATTTAGAAAAAGAATCTCTACAAGTGCATTAAGTTGAAAAGAGGTCACCCTGCATTAGAGTGACCCAGGTGACTGGTATCCCCATAAAAACAAAGAGACAAAGGCCCATGAGGAAGAAGTTCCTGTGAAGACTGGGCAGAGACTGACGTCACAGAAGTTGATAGTAGACTAGCAGTTACCAGAGGCTGGGACGAGGAGGAGAGAGTGCCTTAGTCGGCTTTTTGCCTCTGTGACCGAAAAACCGATAAGAACAACTTTGAGGAGAAAAGATTTATTTTGGCTGCGGTTTTGGTGGTTTGAATCCATAGTCAGCTGGTCCCATTGCTCTAGGCCTGAGGTAAAACAGTACATCATGGCAGAAGGGTATGGTAGAGGAGGGCTACTCAGCTCATGTAACCCAAGAAGCAGACAGAGAGGAAGGGGCCCAAGATAAGATATGGTCCCCAAGAGCAGGCCGGCAGTGACTTACTTCCTCCAGCCATGCCCCACCTGCCTACAGGTTCAGCCATCTCCCCGTGGTCTGCTGGATGAATTAATCCACTGGAGAGGCCAGAGCCCACATCATCCAATCACTTCCCAAAGTGTCACCTCAGAGCTTTGCTTTACTGAGGAGCTTTGACAGTCACTTGAGCCCATGCCAAGGGAGAGCATATTCTCATCACCCGAGAACATCCCCTTGAGTCTCTGCAGACCCCTGTCTCTACCCCACCTGGAAAAGCAAAGAGGCACAGCACTGTCTCCCAAGCCCACCAAGGACGGGCGCAGGGAGGGCTTAGGCCTCTGCCAGCTGCTGCAGCAATGACAGAGTCCCATAGAGGGCAGACAGGGGCATCTTGGCCTCCAGATCCCAGGTTGACCTGGGGCTACTCAGCTCCATCTTCAGGCCACACTCCTCCAGCAAACCATAGGTGATGGCCAAGCCCTGACCCTGGAGTGGGGCGAGGAGCTCTCGGGGGAGGGTGAAGGGGATGCTCCACGGGTACTTGAAGTTCGGCTCTAGGATGATCCTTACCTAGAAGAAGAGTTATCCGATTGTACAGTCGAACCTTGGAGATGGGGGGAGAAATTATCTATCCCAACATCGGGGACCAGGCAGAACAATGGAATCAGGAGCTTTGGGGCCAAGCCAGGGCATGATCAGTGGTTGAAAAGTATTGTGCATTGCTTCCTCTGCTATGAAATGGTACTGCTAAAGCTTACCTGCACAATAGTGATGTTTGGCTGTCCGGATGCATGGGTACATGTGTATATGTCTGCACACACATATTTGTAGATGTGTGTGCATGGGTGTACATACATATGTGCATGCAATATGAATCAGTACTTGTGTACAGTATAGGTAAAGAGCAGCTTGAAATGGTGCCTTTGTAGTGAAATCAAGGTGTGGATTACTCACGTCCCCTTATTATAAAGCCACATAGTTCCTATATGGATATTTTGGGCCTGTTGGGGCCCACTGGTGGGTTTGGCATGAAAACAGAGTTGCTCTTGACATAACCTCAGACCCAAGAGGCCTGCTCCCAGAGGGAGAATGTAGCCAGGGATTTCCAAGTGCCCATCTCCCCTCCAGAGGAAACATGAACCCTCTCTCTTTTCTCAGAATCCTCAGAACCATTCTTACCCTCCTTCTTTCACCCTCCTCCCTGGACTGCTGGCCCCTGGGGATTTCTCACCAACTCTCGTTGCCAGAGCAGAATCCTCTTCTCCATGGACAGGGCCAGGAGTTCAAGTTGGGTGTCACTCAGCACTAGGGGAGGGAGAGATGTGAAGGAAGAGTGACAGAGTTCAGGTACTCTCTCACCATGGACTAGAGACCAGTGAGAGGGGAATGCTGAGGTAGAAGAATAAACCCTGCTCGTCGGCTGAAGTTCTTCCTTCTACCTTTTTTTTTTTGGCTCTAGGGATTTAACCCAGGGTGCTTTACCACTGAGCTATATCCTCAGCCTCTTTTATTTTTTTCTTTCTTTTAACTTTTTAACTTTTTTATTTTGATACGGGGTCTCACTAAGTTGCATAGGGCCTCACTAAGTTGTTGAGGTGGGCTTTGAGCTTGAGATCCTCCTGCCTCAGTCTCCCAAATTGCTGGGATTACAGGCGTGCACCACCGTGCCCAGCTCTCCTTCTACTCTTGAATGTCTCCAAGATACTGAACAGCATAATCCAGGGTGTGGGTTTTAGGGTGGAGGTTGGGATCTTCTGCCTCAAGGATCAGTTATACGATCAACAGTCAGTCACTTTCTAGTCCTTGGTCAGTGTCACACTGGGCCCTCCTAAACTTGGAGAGAGGGTAGATGAAAAGGATCATGATAACTGAAGTACTCTGGAGCAGTGGCACCTAAAGCGTTCATTCAGAGGGTCTGGGGCCAACTGTGCCTCTCCCACTCTGCCCACAAATCACTCTTACCCATCATGGCTTGAAGAAGGTAAAGAATGCTGTCCTGTGGCTTAACCCACGGAGGTCTTGAGCCCTGTCGCAGTTTATTTAGGATTATGCTGCCAGGGCCTTTCAAATGATCCCAGCTGTCCAAGTCCAGCTACAGGAGACAGGTGGCTTGTTAATGACAACAGTAATAACATCATCGTGGTGTGATCTGCCAGTGTCTCCTGTGTCCATCAGTGATGACCAAGGAGTGGGCTGATGGCTCTCTATCTCCACCAGCAGATTCCAAGGGTCTCTAGAGATGGGGGAGGCTGCTCTGTGGCCCTGGTCACTGTGCCTAGGCCAGAATCCCCACTCTGACATCCTCCTCACTCCCTGGCCTCTTGCTCACGCCTCCTCCTTCAGGTATATCGGTGCCCATATGTCCTACATGTCCCCCCGACAGCTCTGACAGCCCCAGGAAGCTGCGGGACATCCTCACCACATCCATCAGGTCCTGCAGAGCTCCTCTGTCCCCGAGCATGGGCAGGATATTGTAGAACACGACACCCTGAATGTCCTTTGAGAGCTGGGCCAGGGCCTCAGTTTTCCGGGAAACCTCCTCTTGTAGATGCTGGAAATCTGCCCTCCGCCATCAACACCAACCAAAAAGTGGGAACAATCTTTAGTTAGAACCTCCCTGGGATGACGGCCCTTCCCACCAAAATCAGCCAAACACCTCTATCCTTTTCAGCTACTGACCAAAAGCGCCTCTGCTATTGGCTTGCTTGGGCTCCAGGGATGGGACTATAATGAGGCTGGAACGATGACTGATCCCAGGCTCTGAAAGAACAGCATATTGAGAGCAGATGTAGACATTCTCAAAACAGTCATTGCAAGTTGGAGGAAAAGACCAAGTGGCTATTTCTGGGACAGTTCAGGGATACTGTGAAATCCAGTGTTGGGCTCTAGAGAGAAAAATCTCAGGTATTCTGAGATCAGTTTCCATATCTGTTAAATGGGGATATGGCAAGGATTAAATGAGTTTGTGTTTCTAAAGCACTCAGCACACAGGGTCTACCTTTATTATGCAGTTGTGCCAGTACCTTCAACATGCATAAAGAATTGATCCATGGTAGATATTGGGGGCTGATTTCCCCAGGGGGCTTCAGGGAGCTTCAAGGTGACTTACTGAGAGTGAGAGATCTCCTCAGTGGAATCTCCAAAGAGCTGGGCATTCTGTAAAGCCTGCTGGGCAATAAGTCCTCAACAAATGGTGACCGCGTGCATGAATGAATGAGTGGAGCTAATCAAAGTGGTCATTTGGGAGTAAATTTTTTTTCTCAGTTGCAAGGAAACTCTAATTTGGGACTGGCTTCTTTACCTTGGCCTTTAATCTCCCACCCAGAAACCCCAGATTCCCCTTAATAAACACTCACCTTGCCAAAAAGGTTCCTCTATTCTCCCTAGGAAGTGAATCACAAGTGATCATTTTTCTTCACCCTCAAATTTGCTTGAGGCTCATTGGAGGGTCTACCCACCTGCTGTCTCCCACCCAGAAACCCTCTTAATAAACACTCACCTTGCGAATAATGTTCCTTTATTCTTCCTAGGAAGTGAATCACAAGTGATCATTTTTCTTCACCCTCAAATTTGCTTGAGGCTCATTGGAGGGTCTGCCCACCCGCTGTCTCCCCTGTCCTGGTTAACCTCTTGGTGACCCCATCCTGGTCCTTCCCTTCACCATGTTGGCCCTCCTGGACCCTTCTCATCCACAGGACCCGGGGAGGGCAGAGAATAGTGACAAACCAAGTCAGGGGCAATCTACCCTCAGGCCTGCTACCTGCAGGTTGGGATTCCCACCTTCGCCTCCAGCACACACCCTCACCTACACTCACCTATAGAAAGGCTGGAGAGTACAGGCCGGCCTAGAAAGAGAATGTAACCCAAGAGTTAGTCCCAAAGACTTGTTTTCTCCAAATCCTGCCTCTACTTCCCCTCACTCCCTCTTCTTCACTGCTCCGCCCCCTGCCCACAGGGCCAGATGCCCACGCCGGGGGGGATTGGCAGCAAAGGCAATCGGGTAGTTGGGTTTCTGTTGTGCAGAGCGGCCCAGAGAGGCATCAGGTTCACCTACCTGATTCGAAAAGTGTTCTTGAACAACCCTGTAATTTAAGTAACTCTGGAAAAGAGAGAAAGTGTTCACTCACCGAGAGCCAGTACCCCCACTCCCCTCTTCTCTCTTCTACCTCTTTTGCTCCACCTCTCACCTCTCCAACTCCTCCCTCCTTTCTCTTTTTCTCACCTCATACCACTACTTCAATTGAGAAGTTCCTCCAGAGAAATGGATTCCCAGGCAGACCCCACCCCCATCACACTCACACCTATCCCGGTGTTCAGAGGAGAAAAGCTGGTCTCCCTGGCCCCAGGTCTTGGCCAGGTCCAAGACAGGGAATGTGGATGGTTAGGGGGGAAGGTTTTTTAATGACTGGCCCCAGTGGGGGGTGGAATGGGCTCATGCAATATCCAAAAGGGGGTCAGGACTCACCAGGGCCCAAGTTCTAGGCAGAGAATCTGCCAGGCTCTGGACTCACCATCTTGAAAGGTTTTCTGCTTAGCATCCGTGGAGATGAGAAGAAAGGCTGAACGGAAAAGCATCCAGTCAGGAGAGCTGGGTCCCACACCTCGTACCTGGAGCCTGGGGACCCATGGATACACCACTTGGGATGTTCGTCAACCAAGCCTCTGGGTCTTATGAATCAATCAAGGGGACTGGCTTTCCCCTGCCTGCCCAAGGGACTGTCTCTTTGTCAATCTTTCCTCACAGTGCTGACCTTACTTATCAATTCCCAACCTTGCAATCTTGGGTGGTTTCATGTTTCATATATAGAAATGTACTGAGGTCTGAAACTTGCCTAACACCAAACTAGGAGAACAGCTTAGGAAGAACAGTATCCCAGGTGCTGGAGAATGTGATCCATGGAATCAGACGCGGCTGAGCTCCGCAGTGCCTGCCAGTCACACCCTGACCACTAGAGGGCAACAGGGGAAATCCACTGACAACGCAGGCCCAATTGAAAGGAACTGGCAGGCAGGGCTTGATTTACAAGATAAATCGCAAGATAAATAAATTTACATAACAAACAGGAATATTATGTGCAGAACAGTGTAGTACTTTGCCACACCACAGGCTAGTAACTTCAGAGAAAATTAGAATTCTCCTGAGTGCTAGTCTTCTCATCTCAACTGTAAAATGGAATCAGGACCTTCTCAGCCAAGCTGACACAAAGAATCAACATCCAGCAACGTGACTGACACCAATCATCTTCCGCCCCTTGAGTTCAACAGCCTCTTCCCTGGCCTGACAACAAGCCCAAGCCATCTCAGGATCCACATTACCATGCTCCGTCTTTGTGGCTTCCTGTCACCCACTTTCCCCTACAGAAAGCTTCCCTAAGGGGTCATCTGTGCTGTGTCTGCACTGTCTCCCTCGCATCCACTCCTCGGTCATGCAGTTTATCCACCAGAATTCACCAGACTTCAGCCACCAGTGAACATGGTCTTGGTTCTCTCTGGATACTACAACCCCATGCCCGATGGGGTCTCCTAATATTCAGACTATGTATTTTTGTTTTGTTTGTTGTTAATATTTTTTAAAATAGTGCTCTTTTTCTTTCCTTCCCTAAATGAAAAGCACTTTGTTAATCACTGTGATCTTTAATAATAGCACTGCCATCTCCTAGTGCCCTTAGTGGGCATCTCTAAAATTTCTCTCATCCCACCTCTACACCTCAGTAGAGAGGTGGTTAGGTATGGATGGTCTTTCTCCAGAAGCCAGGGTCCACACAGGAGTGAAAAGTCCAGCGGCCCTCTGTTGTACCCTCCCTGGCACCAGGACCCTCCCTTGGCCAGGATCAGCAGTGAGAACACTGCAGGAGAACATGGGAGTGTGCTCATGATGAGGACGTCCCCTCCTGTCCTGCAGCCCAGCCCCAGCTGAGTCGACTGCCCTCTAGCTGGGACTCCACATCAGAAGGACGGTTGGTCCTGTCCCCAGCACGTACATCATGCCCAGGTACTTAACTGACCCTGACCATCTGCGCACATGGTATCCAGCCCCAAGGTGTGTGTTGGGGACTGTGTGTTTGGAGGATGGTGACAGAGGGAAAGATGTAGATAATATCCTGCATGGGGATGTCAGGGCCTTGGGTCTGTCCTTGTTTGTGTTTGTGTCTTCACTATCTTTGGGGGTTTTGATGTGGGTTCATGGGTAACCTGAAGGGCTCTGGGGCTCCCTCTGCTGGACCTTGCATGATGAGATGGTTAGGATTGCAGCCTGGCTTTGCCCGTGCTCAGGGCACCTCCAAGTGGACACTCCAAGTTGGTCCCTTCACATGAAGGAGACGTCTCAGCATCTACCCCTAGCAAAGTTTCAGCAGGCCATGCTTGTAGGTGGCTGTGGGCAGGGGGACATGTGTGTGCCCAGACAGTGACGAATGTTGCTCATCCTTCCCCTGGACTGGGAAAGCAGCAGAGGTGGCATGTTAGTGGCCTCTCTTCTGTTTCTCTCCTCAGGAGGAGCAGGGCCACCCTACCCCACCCCAGGTGCCTCCCGGGTTTCTACTCACTGACGCCATTCCCTTTGATGACCAGCTGCTTCTTCTTATAGGCCATCACTGTGCCCCGGGGGATCGTCAGTGTCATAGCTCCATCCTTGACAATCTGTCCCTGGACTTCACCCTGGAGAGAGAAAACATACCTAGAAGCTTACATCTCTCTGCCTCACAGCACAGTTAAAAATCCTGTTTCCTTTTCATCACAGCAATGCATGCTTGTAGTTTTAAAGTCAAATACATCTAGAAAGCTCACGAGAAAAACAGCAGACCCCACTCTCTCATTCCTCCAGGTCCTATTTCCCATTACCACTGGCTTCTCCTTCTTCTGTCCAGCTTTACCTACACATTTTCCAGTTGTCATGTTGCAGTGTTATAGTTTTTCCAAATTAGGTGTATGAATCCCAACACTGTAGAAGACCACAGACCACAGGGACACGGCTTCTCATTTCAGATTTTACTTTTATCACTTAATGTGATGCCCCTGTGTCTTCTCCACCTCATTACTCCATCTCTCCAGGGAAGATGGGGATACATGCTTTAAGACTTTGCACACCTAAAGACCTCCTTATTTTAACTCTCACGTTTGAGTGATATTTGACTGGACATAGAATTCTAGGCAGAAATTCCTTGAAATATGACTCTTTTTTTCCTTTTTAGAAACGTGTACAATTTTCTTTTTGAGGTAAGCATCCTGAAAATCTACACTTGTATTTTGTGATGTGGATCTATGCTGACCCAATGGACTTGGATGGAGCCTGAGTCTCCTCCAGAAATAATTCACTGGCCTTGGGAAAGTTTGTGCATATCTCAGTTTTTTTCCTTTAGTTTATGAAGTTCTTAAGTGAAGACTAACTACACAGAAATATATTGTATATAAAAGCACATGATGAGACACAAATTTTACATTGTCCATACTTGATCTGAATAAGTTACAAATACATTTACTTAAATTAATTTAAAAATTTTTTTGGTTATCGTGAGTGAATTATGTAAATCACATTGCTTAAAGACATTTGCATCTTACTCCTTAAAATATTTCTTATTGGTTGTCATGGTTTAGATTTGTAATGTCTTATGGTTTGAACATGAGGTGTCTCCCAAAAGCTCCTATGTGAGATAATGCAAGAATGTTCAGACGAGAAATGTGAAGATTGTGAGAGCCTTAACCCAATCAATAAATTAATCCCTTAATAAGTATTAACTAAGTGGTAACTGAAGGTGTGTGGGGTATGGCTGGAGGAAATGGGCATTGGGGGCATGGCTTTAGGGTACACATTTTATATGAGGATGAGTGGAGTCATTCTCTGCTTCTGGTCTTTATGTGAGCCATTTCCCTCCACCACACTCTTCCTCCATCATGTTCGGCCTCACCTTGAGCCCTGAGGAATGGAGCCTGCTGTCTATGGATTGAGACCTCTGAAACCATGAGCCCTCAACCAAATGTTTCCGCCTTTACAGTTACTATGGTTGGTCTTTTTATCACAGCAGCGAGAAAGCTGATAAACCAGTGTGTGTTAGAAGTATGGTCCCCAATGCAGCAATGATCAGAGGTCTGATGGGCAATGATTGGATCACGGTGGCTCTGATGGATTAATCCAAAATCCACTGGAGCTGGATGGATTGTGGGAGGAGGGACCTAGCTGGAGGGAGTAAGTCATCAGAAGCGTGCTCTGGAAGAGTTCATCTTCCCTCTCTTTTCTTTTCTCTCTTCTCTCTCTCCTCCTCTTTCTTCTTTCTCTCCCTCTCTCTCTCCCACCCCTCCTCTCTTCCCAGCTGCCATGGGCTGAGCACCACCATGCCCTTCTGCCATAAGGTTTCTACAATGAAGTCAATAGACCATGGACTGAGACCTCCGAAACCATGAGTCAAAATGAATCTTTCCTCCTCTATCCAGTTCTTCTCAGGTATTTCACTCATAGAGACGAAAAGATGACGAACAAACAGGTCATCATAGAACTTAGGCTACTTTAACAGCTGAGGTTTGCTTTTAATGTTCCTGTTTCCTCCAGTCATAAAACTGGATATGTACACAAGGCTCACATTTGATTCAGCAAAACTCACTATTTACCCAAGACACAACATAGTAACAATAATTAAATCCATTTCTAATCTCATCAATAACATACATCCCCTAATGTAAAGCATTATAAATTAAGACGTTATAATATAGTCTCAGGATACGCTGGCATATAAGATGAAGAAAATCGTCGTCCCCCCAGAGACCCTGGGAGATGAGGATGTAGTGGCTAGATGGCATACTCTTGGTGTCCCCATGCCATACCTTAATTAAAGTATTCCAAGAGCCAGACAACTTTCCCAAAGTATTCACACTACTCTTGTCATGCAGTGTAGTACTGTTGGTCAGTTCAACGACCTCTGTCACCACGTACAGGTTGTCCCCTCTCTCCCGGCAATGCTTCAAAAAGGATGGTTCTGGATCCAACAGTTTGCTGGGGATATAAGTGAGGTAAGTGGTCAGAGTGAGAAAGCGATGCCTCTCAGGGCACTCTGGGTTACCCTTCTCCTCAAAACCCAGAGGGGTACATGCCTTTGAACTTTGACAGGTGAGTGCTCAGTGGCAGGAAGATGCTGGACCGTGAGGTTAAGGTGCCCAGGGCACAGAACACCTTTTCTGATGTGCAGGATAAAGGCCACTCCATTTTTAGGTGGTACACACTGTGAAGAGCATCTGCATTGTACTAAATTACACTGATCCTAATAAGGGGCCATTTATCAATTTCCAGCCCGAGGGTCTCTCAGAAAGCTAGAAGTAGATAAGGTCCAGATGGTCGAGACCAGTCCTGAGAAGATCCTATTTTCAAAGTTAAGTATTCACTCTGAAATGTCCAGAGACAAAATCAGGGTGAGATATGGAGCAGGTAGATAAAGCACAAGAAGCAAAATCAAGAATCAATAAATGAGATGGTATTAAACTAAAAAGCTTCTTCACAGCAAAGGAGACAATCAGTAAAATGAAGAGGGAGCCTACAGAATGGGAGAAAATCTTTGCCACCCGAATTACTAGAGCATTAATCTCCAGGTATATAAAGAACTCAAAAAACGTGACACCAAAAAACCAAACAACCCAATCAATAAATGGGCAAAGGAACTTGATCAGGCACTTCACAGAAGAAGAAATATGATTGGTCAACAAATATATGAAAAAATGTTCAACATCTCTAGCAATTAGAGAAATTCAAATTAAAACTACACTGGGAGCCAGGTGGAGGAGCTCATGCCTCTGATGGGGTTAGAAGGCTAAGGCAGGAGGATCGCAAGTTCAAAGCCTGACTCAGGAACTTACCAAGGACCTAAGCCACTCAGTGAGACCCTGTCTCTAAACTTGAAAAAAAGGCTGGGAATGTGGCTCAGTGCTTAAGCACCCCTGGGTTCAATCCCCAGTACCAAAAATAAATAAATGAATAAACCACTACACTGAGATGTCATCTCACTCCGATCAGAATGGCAATTATCAAAAATACAAGTAACAATACATGTTGGCAGGGAGGCAAGGATGTGGGGAAAAGGAACTGAAAATTAGTGCAACCACTCTGGAAAGCAGTATGGAGATTCCTCAGAAAACTTGGAATGGAACCACTATTCAACCCAGTTGTCCCACTCCTCGGCATATACACAAAGGACTTAAAATAAGATAATACAGTGATATGACCACATCAATGTTTGGAGTGGCTCAACTCAACCTAGGTGCCCTTCAACAGATGAATGGATAAAGAAAATGTAATGTGTGTGTTTGTGTGTGTGTGTGTGTGTGTGTATGTGTAATGAAATATTACTCAGCCATAAAGAAGAATGAAATCATGGCATTTGCCAGTAAATGGATAGAACTGGAGACTATCATGCTAATCAAAATAAGTCAGTCCCCAAAACCAAAAGGTCAAGTACTCTCTCTGATATGTGAATGCAAACACATAATAAGGCGGGAGGAAAGAATAGAACTTCATTGGGTTAGACAAAGGAGAAAGAAGGGAAGGGAGGAAGAATGGGAATAGGAAAGACAGCAGAATGAATTGGATTCAACTTTCCTGTGTTCATATATGAGTACACAGTCAGTGTGACTCTACATCATGTATAACTGCAAGAATAGGAAGTTATACTCCATGTATATATAAAATGTCAAAATACACTCCACTGTCATGCATAACTAAAAATAACAACTAGAATTTTTAAAAATTTATACAATTCCAGGCTGGAATTGTAGCTCAGGGGCAGAATGCTTGCCTAGCATGTGTGAGGCATTAGGTTCAATCCTCAGTATCCCATAAAAATAAATAAAATAAAAGCATTCTGTCCATACACAACTACAAAAAAAATTATTTTTAATTTACACAATTCCAGTTCTCAATTATACCACAGAGAATTAGAAAAAAATAACAAAATAAATCCCAAGACCTTGAGATATTATTTAGAGAGTTCCAGAGTCTGTCTCACTTTAATCATACTTCATTAATTTATTTGTTTTGCTTCTTTCCCCATTACCTGCCCATCCCTGACTCCACTAAGCACAAGTTGCCCCAGGACAGGGACGTGGGTTTGTCCTGTTCTCTGTCCCAGCTACAGTCCTGGGTAAAGCAGTCATGGGTAAACACTGCTCCACTGAGTACTGACTGGGGAAGGATAGCTCCTGGCTGAAGGAAGGAATGGGTACCCAAGAGGAATGGACCAGTCTGAGATGTCCGCTCCTCATTTTGTTGGGGGGACAACAAGGCCTGGTAAATGCCTCTTGCTTGCAAGAAGACACTGCTGGGATAGTAATGTCCCACCCCTTCCTCTCCAGGTGCCTCACCTGTTTTGAAGGCTTTCCAGGTTTCGGGATGGGACGGTAACCTTCTGGAACTCAAGGGTGGATCCACGGGACTGAGTGAACTCCCCTGTTGCACTCCCATCTACCCCAGCACTGACACTCACACCTGCCTTCCATTTCTGGATCACAGTGTCACTGAAGAAGAATGGTCTTGTCACTTCCACTTCTGGAAAGAGAAAAATGACCAGAGGTTTAGCCAAGAATTCACTATGGAAGAGCTGGGTGTGGGAAGGGAAAATTGAGGCCAATTCTGCCCCAACACCTCTACTTATTAAAACCTCTCAATCAAGACACTAACCCATCAATTAATGTTTGAAGAGTAGACTACCTTGGAGGGCAAATGTTTGACTCCAGCGATACACAACAGGGACAGTCTTAACCCTAAAAAATGGTGCCATCACTTGTTCAGTGTCCAGAAGACCCTGGGAACTCTCTTTCCCAAATTTTGAAAATGTTTAGGATTTGGGGACGGAATGACCTGTCTGGATCCTACTTCTTCCAGTGCCCAGCTATGTAACTTTAAATGAATTATTTTATAAACTTCAAACTCTTACACAAAATGGGGATGATATCTCCACCTCAAGAGGCCCTTATGAGCATTCTATGACCTGATGAATGCCTGGTTCCAGATAATTAGTTGATTCTCAAATAATGTTCCTTGCCCTTTTCTTAAGGTGAGAGGAAGCAGAGATGGACCTAGTGAGGCGTCTCCAGGATTCTTGGATGTTGCGCTCCTTCTGTTTAAGAACGTTTGTTCTTCACACCTGAAGCCTTGGCCCCTGGCCAACGTACCTGGGACTGAGGAACCCGATGCCAGGATGTCCATGAGGGAGTACTCAACTGGAATGTCAGGCTGTTCCCAAAACTGGGACTGAGGGTTCTTCCGCAAAATACTAAACTGACGGAAATGGGTGGCATCCAACAGGGATTTGACAGGCCTCAGGTCTTTGCCTCCAAAGTTTTTGACCATCTTCTTGCTAACACGCTCAAATATGGAGGGCATGTTGCTGGGAGCAGAGAGAAGAGAGCAGTTACCTCTCCCTGACCCCCGACTGCTTTTCATAAAGGAGAGAACCTGCACATGAGACAATCAGGTCTTCACTTCCTGGGGTAACTAGCTCAGAGCTCCCTCAACTTCTCTGCTCTGAAGACAGGCCAGGCTTCTGACAGAAGCACTCCTGAGAAGTTTGCTTCCCCTCATAGCTGTGGTAGGAAATCCTGGTCCACCTCCATCTGTAACCCAGGGATCCCAAAGGACAGGAAGAGGAAGGGCTCAATTTGATCTTCAAATGACAGCGCAGAGGGGTGGTTGGGCTTAGGTTAAGTAGACACGGGTGATGGAAGAGCTGAGATGCCCTTGGTCATTTCACAGATTTTGCAGAGAAGGCCTCATTGACAAGTGACATTTGGACAGAAATTTAGAAGGGGTGGGTATTAACAATGAACATACGTGAAAAAAAAAGTATTCCAGGTAGAGAAATCGGCAAGTGCAAAGACTCTGAAACAACCCATGCCTGAATAAGTGGGGGTGCAAAAAGAAAGGTGAGGCAGCAGACACTGCTGCAAGCTGGCTCAGGCCCTGGTTGGTCCGTGTCATCTCTGTCTTTCACTTGTAGCAAGATCAGGAGCCATGAGAGGGCTTTGAGCTCACACCTCTGGGGCATTTCTGACAAGGTGCTTGCGGTTGCTGGGCTGACGATAACTGCAGTGAGACAGGAGGGGCAGAAGTAGAGGGTCTAGTTGGGATAGTTTTGCAATAACCCAGGTGAGAGTTGGGAGTGGATTGGACCAAGTCATAGCACTCCCAACAATGAGAAGGGATCAGATCCCAGTCTGTGCCACAGGTAGAGATGACATCTACAAAAGGGGTGGGTTGGCAAGGTGGCCTCCATGAGCACTCATAGCTCTCACCCCCAGAATGGCTCAGGAAAGTGCTGTGTGTACATCAGGAGAACATTTCTGACATGGGTTGTTTGAAGAAAGTGAGGTTGAGTCAAGGGGAGCAAGGGGTGGCGGGTGTTGAAGAAGGAGGGAAGGTGAGATAAGGAACCATGAGTCAGAGCAAGTAAACGGGGGCTGGTCTGGAAAACTCTGGAGGGTAAATCATACATGTGCCACTCTGGGTGCATTTAGTGTACTGGTGAGGACGAGCCGGGTTTTCTTAAGGGGCTCCTTTGGATCTTGAACAGGGGAATAAATGGGTCTTAATATGCCTTGCAGAAAAGTTTTACATGGTGATTTGAAATCTTCACAGAGAGATTTAGGTGCCTGTCAGATGTGCACAAGGAAGAACAGGCAGACACAAGTGCCTGATAGTGGCTGGGAAGGTCCCAATTTTGTTTAAGCAACTCTCTAGCAGAGATGAGTTCTTGCCAGGGTAAAAGGGGACTGCTGAGCACCTGGCTGCTGTGTGAGAGGTACAGGAAGAAGACTTCCCTTCCAAAAGGCTAACCTATGGCCTTTCTTAAGCCTCCCTAGTGAACACCAAGCCAGGCAAATTGTCCGACTTCACCCACCAGCTGGAGGGCTGCTGTGTATGGGTGTGAACTGCCTGTGTTCAGGGCTGCCAAACTGGAGCCTGTCAAGATTTTATACAAACCTGCTGGAAGAGAAACAGCACACAGTATGGGCACATGAAGATAGGCAGGGGATGCTTAAATAGTACAACCTGGAAGCTTGTACTGTTGTTCCTAGTGGATAAGGTTTCTCTATAAATACCATAAAGTCAATCACTTTTACAAAGTGTCACGATCCCTTGCACATGTAGCCATCAAACAGGGCCTGTTCAGCCAGGCACAGGTGGCACATGCCTGTAATCCCAGTGACTCAGAAGGCTGAGGTAGGAGGATCACAAGTTCAAGGCCAGCCTCACCAATTTAGCAAGACCCTGTCTCAAAATAAAACATAAAAAGGACTAGGGATGTAACTCAGTGGTAAAGCACCCTGGGTTCAATCCCCAATACCGCCCCGCCCCTTCCAAAAAGAAAAGAAAGAAAACAAAACAAAACAGGGCCACGCTCTTGAGCTGCTTTCAAATTCTTGCAATTTCAACAAACCCAGGATCTCCACCAGCCATTAAACCAAGAAGTAGTGCTTAAGCCTGTATTCCCTAAAGAAAACTGATATGTTAATTGATTTGCTCAATCACTTATTTGCTCATTTAGTCAGTGAAGTTTTTACAAGTATCTTAGATGCTAGGGCCCTGCCTTGAGAACATGTTCCTATGGTCTCTGGTCTCTTGGGGCACAGTACACTGATAAAGACAGATATTTACCAAATGACCTCACTGATAAATGCATAAGTGTCTATAAATCATGACTGACACCATGAATGAAAGGAACCCAATAGCTTTCTATTAACAAGAACTTAACAACTCAAAGCATGGGTGAATCTCATAATCTAACCTCAAAAACTTAAGAACGAATATTATTATACAGAACCTAATAATTAGTTCATTAAGAACACAAAGATACAGAAAATATGAACATTACAGATAACACAATATAATGGGCTTATAAAGAACTGCATACCCTGATGAGGAGACTGCTCATTATATTCATGCATTGAAAATTTTTCACAAAACAGAAAAATGTCATAAAGCAAACCTCCACAAATATCAAGAATCAATATTACTCATATTATATGTTTATAACAATTCCATAAAATTTAGAGGGGACAGACTAGGGATTGAGCCTAGGAGTGTACTACCACTGAGCTATATCCCCAGTCCTTCTTATTTTTTGAAAGAGGCTCTCTTGCGGAGGCTGACTTCAAACTTGGGATCCTCCTGCCTCAACCTCCTGAGTAGCTGGGATTATAAGCAGGTACCACTGCAACCACCTCCATTACATTGTAAATTAATAATTTAAAAAATACTGTACTACTAAGTTGCTTGATACAATAATTTTTAAAAATTAAATGTGAGTCATATGTGGACAACATGGAACCAAGTGGCCAACTGTCCAGAGTACAACATGCCCAAGTTTTATTGTAACTATCCAGATGCAGACCCTACCTATGACTCGTCATCTGTGAGAAAGACACACTACTGGATAAGGAAACACAAAGGGAATGTTGGAAGTCTCCTATGTTACTAATATGGCATTATGTAAAAATGTGGATGTGTAACCGATGTGATTCTGCAATCTGTATTTGGGGTAAAAATGGGAGTTCATAACCCACTTGAATCTAATGTATGAAATATGATATGTCAAGAGCTTTGTAATGTTTTGAACAACCAATAAAAAAATTTAAAAAAAAAAGAAATTGATGGAAGAGATGGCTGGTAGACAAACAATAGCTGCATTCAACAGAGCAGGACACCTCCTACTCTAGCCTCCGTATCTCCTCCAAAAGAGGCAATGATCCAACTTCCTCCCGGTCCACCAATTCCTCCTCATCTGGTATGATGCCAGCACCCCATGGGAAAGCCCTCCCAAGAGGACAGTGATGGTCTTCTTCTCCTGGGATGATGCCAGTGGGACCAACCTCTGGAATGAGGTCCCTGTGGGAGGCCACACGTCAAAATGAGGCAAGGGCCTCCAATGATGAGAACTTCTTGTCCCATGATAGTTCCCATATAGCCAGGAATGACTCAATCAGACAGTAAGGGTAGACTCTTTATATAAGAGTCACAGTACTTTTTCTACTTCACCAGGAGATGGTGGTGCTGTAACTCTGGGTGCTTCCTAAAAGCATAACAATGAAGACTAGCTCCCTTCTTCCTATCAAATAATTATTTTGGAGGGGAAAAGATGGACAGAAAAAGTGAAGTTTACATTTGTATTGTGAAATGCAAAAATAAAATTGGCAGCTCTTTTAGTTAGAAATTGTGTTCCTGAATATAGTTGTCCCCAGTACCCCTGGGGAGTTGGTTCCAGGACCCCCCTGCAGATACCAAAACCTGAAGATGCTTAAGTCCTGGATATTAAAATGCTACAGTATTTGCATATAACCTACATATATTCTCCCATATACTTTAAATTTGAATGCTATGTGAATAGTGTTTGTTGCAGAGTTTAGGGAATACCAACAATTTAAAAATCTGTACACATACAGAAGTAATTTTTTTTTTCTAAATATTTTCAACCTGTGGTTGGTTAAATCCACAGATGCCCTATCTATGGCTATGGAGGGCTGACCATACCACCAAAAGAGAAAAAGAGTACATAACTAAAGAAGAAAGGAACCTAAATGGATTTGTGATTCAGAAAACTCACTCATTATGGAAGGGTCAACAGTGGACAAGCATAAATTAATTCTCAGGCTACTTCTAGCCATGTTCAAGAGAAAGCTATTGGCACCTTAGCCTTGGATGATGACAGAGAAGTTCCATAAAATCAAAAGGAATTGATGATGGCTTTGACATGGGTGGTGAGGAAGAGGGGGGGACACAAAGGGGGTTTCTGAATTTCTGGCATGGGTAATAGGAAGGGTGGTGTGCCATTTTCTTAAGTAATAGAAAAGAACTCTGTTAGGAGACATGATTATAGAGGAGGAAGATGAATTCCTATTTGGTCACATTGATTTTGAGATCCAAGAGAAGAGTAAAACAGACAGTTACACAGATTGGCCCTCACAGTAGAAAACTACCCTGGAAAGAAAAATGGTTGGGCATAGAGGTGGGAGTGGAGACCTTGAGATGAAGTCACAAACACGAATGTTTCATAGTCAGGTAGGGCAAAGTGTGACAGCACTGGGTAGACCACACTGAATGAAAGGGACCTACTTCAATTGCTTCCTTCTGAGTAAATAAGCACAGGATTTCTGGCTACAAAGAATTGGGTTTTTGAACATGCTGAATATGTTCAGTACCAAAGAGGCAGAACTTTCAATGATTTGTGTAACAACCCTGACGTGATTGGTTCAGTTCAGTCTGGATTGGGCCGTGGAAAAGGTCAATGACAACAGAGAATACCAAGAACAAAAGCAAAGTCTCCAAAACCGGACCTGGACAAAGATGTATCACAGATACATCCCATGGCCTCTACACTCTCAGGAATT